CTTGTCCCCCAGGATGCCCCAAACCCACCCTTGGGGGCACATCCTCCATCCCCCAGGACGTCCCACCCCCACAGGGGTCCGGCCCGTTGTCCTGGGGGTCCCTCCCTGGTTGGGACCCCCCTGTGGGGTCGGGGCCCCCCCAGTCACTCACTGACTCCCTTGTTCTGCGGGTCCAACTCGATGATCTTCACCGTCTTCTCCAGCCTCATCCCCTCGGGCTGCCCGGGGCAGATCCAAAAAACCATCAGTGGGGCTGGTTTTGGGGTCTCCCCCTTCCCAACCCCTCCGGGTTGTCCAGGAAAGGTGTCCCAGTACAAGCCAGCACCCCCAGGGCGGGTGACACACCAGTTTGGGGGGTGTCCCCTGTCGCCCAAGATGCCTCAGAGACCTCCCAAGGTTTAGGGGGTCCCTCGAGCCCCAAGGAGTCCTCCCAAGGTTTTGGGGATCCCTTGAATGTCTTGGAGTCCTCCCAAGGTTTAGGGGATCCTTCGAGTCCCAAGGAGTCTTCCCAAGGTTTAGGGGATTCCTCAACACCCAAGGAGTTCTCCCAAGGTTCAGGGGATCTCTCAAGCCCCAAGGAGTCCTCCCAAGGTCTGGCACCGCCCCGGCAGGACCATCCTCCCCCCCAGCTGCCAACCCCGGGGCAGGGGTGGCCGTGGCGACATTCCCGCGCTTGGGGACACCCGAGGGGCCACTCACCACCACCCCGGGGCCACTCACCACCACCCAGGGGCCACTCACCACCGGGGGCCACTCACCACCACCCCGGGGGCCACTCACCACCGCCCTGGGGCCACTCACCCCCACCCTGGGACCACTCACCACCACCCTGGGACCACTCACCACCACCCTGGAACCACTCACCACCACCCAGGGGCCACTCACCCCCACCCAGGGGCCACTCACCACCGGGGGCCACTCACCATCACCTGGGGCCACTCACGACCACCCGGGGGCCACTCACCCCCACCCCGGGGCCACTCACCCCCACCCCGGGGCCACTCACCCCCACCCGAGGGCCACTCACCACTGAGGGCCACTCATGACCACCCTGGGGCCACTCATCCCCACCCAGGGGCCACTCACCACCACCCGCAGCTTCTTCTTGACGCCGTCGCCCACAAACAGGTCCCTGACGGCCGCCTTGACCTCGACATCGTGCTGCCCCAGCTGGAGGGGCACGAGCACGAAGGACACGGTGCGGGAGGACTCGGCCTTGATCCGCAGGATCTGCTGGAAGCGCTGCTTGGCCGTGGAGGGGCCGCACAGGGCGGGGTTGTGAACCAGCTCCACCCGCACCTGGGGGGCACAGGGGGGACACAGGGGGACACAGGGGGGGCACAGGGTCACGGAATGCCTGGAGGTGGAAGGGACCCTCGAGGATCGTCTGGTCCGACCCCACCCAGGACACCCCAAAAACCCACCAAGTGCCCGAGGGCCTCGTCCAAATGTTCCCTGAGCTCCAAAATCTTGGGATATCCTGATTTGGGGGATCCCTCGAGCCCCAGGGAGTTCTCCCAAGGTTTAGGGGATCCCATGAAGGTCTTGGAGTTCTCTCAAGGTTTAGGAGATCCCTTGAGTCCCTTGGAATGCTACAGGGGTTTAGGGGATCCCTCGAGCCCCAGGGAGTTTGGGACCACGAGGATCCCAAAATCCCACCAAGTGCCTGAGAGCCTCATCCAAACATTCCCTGAGCTCTAAAATCATGGGATATCCTAGTTCGGAAGGGACCCCCGAGGATCATCCAGTCCAATCCTGCCCAGGACAGCCCCAAAACCCCACCAAGTGCTTGAGAGCCTCATCCAAACATTCCCTGAGCTCTAAAATCATGGGATATCCTAGTTCGGAAGGGACCCCCGAGGATCATCCAGTCCAATCCTGCCCAGGACGGCCCCAAAACCCCACCAAGTGCTTGAGAGCCTCATCCAAACATTCCCTGAGCTCCAAAATCTCGGGATATCCTGATTTAGAAGGGACCCCCAAGGATCCCAAAATCCAACCATGGCCCTGAGAGCCTCATTCAAACGTTCCCTGAGCTCCAAAATTTTGGGATATCCTGATTTAGAAGGGACTCCTGAGGATCATCCAGTCCCACTCCTGGCCCTGCCCAGGACACCCCAAAATCCTACCAAAGTGCCTGAGAGCCTCATCCAAACATTCCCTGAGCTCTAAAATCTTGGGATATCCTGATTTAGAAGGGACCCCTGAGGATCCAAAAATCCCACCAAGTGCCCAAGAGCTTTGCCCAAACATTCCCTGAGCTCTAAAATCGTGGAATATCCTCATTTAGAAGGAACCCACAGGGATCATCCAGTCCAATCCCTGCCCAGGATGCCCCAAAACCCCACCAAGTGCCCGAGAGCCTTGTCCCAACATTCCCTGAGCTCCAAAATCTCGGGATATCCCGATTTAGAAAGGACCCTCATCCTCGTGGCCTCCTCTGGAGCTTCTCCAGGGGGATCCAGGAGGCCACAGACCCCCCCCAAACCCCCCTTTCCCCCTCCCGGGGTTGGGGTCCCCACTCACGGTGATCTCCTGGAGCCAGTAGTTGTAGAGGATGGCTCGGATCTCCACCTGCTCGTTCCTCACCACCGAGTAGGGCAGGCGCAGGTCGATGAAGAAATCCTTCCTCACCGTGATCTCGTAGGGGTCGGCCACGCACAGCCCTGGTTGGGGGGGGGCAGGGCAGGATTGGGGGGTTTCTGGGATGGCCCCGAGGCCTTCGGAGAACCCTGAGAACCCCCAGGAGCCACCCCCGGGGTTTAGGGGACGCCTCGGATCTCTCGGAGTTCTCCCGGGGGTTTAGGGGTTCCCACCAGTCCCAAGGAGTCCCTCCCAAGGGATAGGAGATCCCACCAGTCCCAAGGAGTCTTCCCAATGTTTAGAAGACCCCTCGAGCCCCAAGGAGTCCTCCCAAGGTTTAGGAGATCCCTCAAAACCCGAGGAGTTCTCCCAAGGCTTAGGATCCCACCAGTTCCAAGGAGTCCTCCCAAGGGTTAGGAGTTCCCTCAAGTCCCAAGGAGTTTTCCCAAGGTTTAGGGGATCCCTCGAGCCCCAGGGAGTCCTCCCAAGGTTTAGGGGATCCCTTGAATGTCTTGGAGTTCTCCCAAGGTTTTGGGGATCCCTCAAGTCCCGGGGAGTTCTCCCAGTGTTTAGAAGACCCCTCAAGGCCCAAGGACTTCTCCCAAGGCTTAGCACATCCCTCAAAACCCGAGGAGTCCTCCAAAGGTTTAGGAGATCTCTCAAGCCCCGAGGAGTCCTCCGAAGGCTTAGGATCCCACCAGTCCCAAGGAATCCTCCCAAGGTTTCGGGGATCCCTTGAATGTCTTGGAGTTCTCCCAAAGTTTTGGGGATCCCTCAAGTCCAAAGGAGTCTTCCCAAGGCTTAAGAGATCCTTCAAAACCCGAGGAGTCCTCCCAAGGTTTAGGGGATCCCTCAAGCCCCAAGGAGTCCTCCCAAGGTTTAGGATCCCACCAGTCCCAAGGAATCTTTGCCAGGTTCAGGGGGTCCCTCAAGCCCCAAGGATGGTCACCAAGCTGGGCAGGATCTCCCCCTGAGAGTCTGGGGATCCCTCAAAACCCAAAGGAGACCCCCCAGGCTTTAGGGGGACACTCCCAAGGGTCGGGGGGGTTCCTTTGGTGCCCGGGGCCACCCTCCCCCGGGTGCCATACCCTTGTTGGGCGAGAGGCTGACGGCCAGCACCTCCCAGGTGGTGATGGAGTCCTTCAGGTACACGGGCAGAGTCTTTGACGACACCCTAGGGAGGGCAGGGGGGGACCAGGGGGGGTCACAACCCACCCCAACCCCACCCCGAGGGGCATCACCAGCCCCCAGGGTGGAACTGGGGGGTCACAACTGGTCCCCAAGGCAGAGCAGGGGGTTTGGGATGAGCCCTGGGTGGACCAAGGTGGTCCTGAGGCAGCACCAGGGGGTCAGGGGTGACCCTTGAGTGGATCAGGGTGGTCCTGAGGCAGCACCAGGGGGTCAGGGGTGACCCTTGAGTGGATCAGGGTGGTCCTGAGGCAGCACCAGGGGGTCAGGGGTGACCCTTGAGTGGACCCAGGTGGTCCTGAGGCAGCACCAGGGGGTTGGAGGTGACCCTTGAGTGGACCAGGGTGGTCCTGAGGCAGCATTGGGGGGTCAGGGGTGACCTCGGTGTGGATTTAGGGGGGTCACAGCTGGTCCCCAAGGCAGAGCAGGGGGTTTGGGATGACCCCTGAGTGGACCAAGGTGGTCCTGAGGCAGCACCAGGAGTTCAGAGATGACCCTTGAGTGGACCAAGGTGGTCCTGAGGCAACACCAGGGGTCAGGGGTGACCGTGGCGTGGATTTGGGGGGCTCAGGGAGGGGGAGGTGACCCCCAGGGTGAGCCCCGGGGGTCGGGGGGTGGGGGGACAGGGTTAGGGCTCACCCCAGCTCGTTGGGGGCCTCCGTCAGCTGCTCCACCTGCCACAGCCAACTCTCGGGGAAGAGGCTCCGCGAGGTGATGTCGTCGTCGCTCAGGAACACCTCGTCCTCCTCGCCTGGGGATGGGGGCATCCCTCTCGTCCGTGGTCTCATGGCCACCCCTGAGCGGAGCCAGTCTCACCCCAGCACCGACCAGGCACCCCCCGGGGCTGCCCACCCAACCTTCACCCCAAAGTCACCCCAAAGTCACCCAAAAGACACACAGAATTCACCCAAAACTAACCCAACATTCATCCAACTTTCATCCCAAATTGACCCAACATTCACTAAAATTCATCCAAAAGTGACCCAAAATTCATCCCAAATTAACCCAAAATTTGCCAACATTCACCCAACATTCACCAAAATTCATCCAAAAGTAACCCAAAATTCATCCCAAAATCACCCAAAATTAATCCAAAAGTAACCCAACATTCATCCCAAAATCACCCAAAATTCACAAAAATTAACCCAAAATTCACCAACATTCATCCAAAATTCATCCCAAATTCACCCAATGTTCACCAACATTCACCCAACACTCATCCAAACTTGACAGTCATCCAACTTTCATCCCAAGTTCATCCAACAGTCAACCAACATTCACCAACATTCACCCAACACTCATCCAAAATTAACCCAAAATTCACCCCAAATTCCTCCAACATTCACCCAACATTTACCCAAAATTCATCCAAAATTCACCCAACCTTCACCCAAAATTCACCCAAGGAACACCTGAGGTTCACCTGACCTTCACTCAAGCTTTTCTTGAGGATCACCCAACCTTCCCCAAAGGAGCACCCAAGAGACTCCCAAATCTTCACCCAAGGAACACCCAAGGAACTCCCAACCTTTACCCAAGGAACACCCAACCTTCCCCCAAGGAGTACCCAAGGAACTCCCAAATGTTCCCCCAAGGAACACCCAACCTTCACCCAAGGAACACCCAAGGAACTCCCAACCTTCCCCCAAGGAGCATCCAAGGAACTCCCAAATCTTCACCCAAGGAACACCCAACCTTCACCCAAAGAACACCCAAGAGACTCCCAACCTTCCCCCAGGGAGCACCCAAGGAACACCCAAGGAACTCCCAACCTTCCCCACCTTCCCCCCAGGACCTCCCACGGCTCCCCCATTCCCCCCTTTCCCCCCGTCCCGTCCCATCACTTGCTTCGTGCCAGCTGGACTTTGCTCTGGCGCCGCTTCTCCTGGCGGATGCCCTGGATGTACTTGCAGCAGTCGAGGAAGGCGCGGACGCAGGACTCGCCCTCCTGGATGTAGGAGCTCCTCTGCTCGCAGGTGTGATCCATCGGGATCTCCCGCATCCCGTCCTCGCAGCACCGACGCAGAGCCTTGTCCTGGTACTCGGACGCTGCGGCACCGGCACGGCCGCTGGCACCCGGCGTGGGGAGGGGGACACCCCGGGGGCCCTCGGGGGCGTGGGACACTCTGGGGTTCCTCAGGGACGTGGGATAGTCTGGTGCCATCAGGGTCATGGGACACTCTGGGGTTCCTCAGGGACGTGGGATAGTCCTGATGTCATCAGGGACATAGGACACTTTGGGGTTCCTCAGGGTCATGGGACACTTTGGGGTTCCTCAGGGACGTGGGACACTCTGGGGTTCCTCAGGGTCATGGGACACTTTGGGATTCATTGCGGACGTGGGACACTCTGGGGTTCCTCAGGGATGTGAGATAGTCTGGTGCCATCAGGGACGTGGGATAGTCTGGGGTTTCTCAGGGACGTGGGACACTTTGGGGTTCCTCAGGGACGTGGGACACTTTGGGGTTCCTCAGGGATGTGGAACACTTTGGGATTCCTCAGGGATGTGGGATAGTCTGGTGCCATCAGGGATGTGGGATAGTCTGGTGTCATCAGGGACATGGGATAGTCTGGGGTTCCTCAGGGATGTGGGACACTTTGGGATTCCTCAGGGATGTGGGATAGTCCTGGTGTCATCAGGGACATGGGACACTCTGGGGTTCCTCAGGGATGTGGGATAGTCTGGTGTCATCAGGGACGTGGGACATGGGACATCCTGGTGTCCCTCAGGGACATGGGACCCCCACATTGACTGGGACATGGGATGTTCTGGTGGCCCCCAGGGACAGGGGACACTCTGGTGACCCCCAGGGACGTGGGACACTGTGGTGGCCCTTGGGGACATGGGACACTTTGGTGTCACCAGGGACATGGGACACTATGGTGGCCTTTGGGACAGGGGACACTGTGGTGTCACCAGGGACACGGGACACCCTGGTGTCCCTCACGGACATGGGACCCCTTCATTGACTGGGGCACGGGATGTCCTGGTGGCCCCCAGGGACACAGGACACTCTGGTGTCCCCAGGGGCACAGGACACAGGACAAGGGTCCCCCCCTGGTGCCACCCACCTTTGGTGCCTTTGTACTGCACGAGCGGCAGCGAGCGACGCCTGCGCGAGGCCTCCTTGGGACACTGCACCTCTGGGGACAGGGGGACACGGGTCAGGACCCCGCAGTGCCCCCAACACGTGCCCTGATGTCGTGGCCCCGTGATGTCAGTTGTCACATCCCAAAGCTCAGGGTCACCTCCCCAATCCCCGAGGTGCCACCTCCCTGATCCCTCAAGTGTCCCCTCCCATGTCCCCAAGGTGTCACCTCCCGCACCCCTGAGGTGTCATCTCCCATGTCCCCGAGGTGCCACCTCCCTGATCCCTCAAGTGTCACCTCCCATGTCCTTGAGGTGCCACCTCCCTGATCCCTCAAGTGTCCCCTCCCATGTCCCTGAGGTGTCACCTCCCCGACCCCCGAGGTGCCACCTCCCTGATTCCTCAATTGTCACCTCCCATGTCCCCGAGGTGCCACCTCCCTGATCCCTCAAGTGTCCCCTCCCATGTCCCTGAGGTGCCACCTCCCGCACCCCTGAGGTGTCACCTCCCCGACCCCGAGGTGTCACCTCCCCGATCCCTCAAGTGTCACCTCCCATGTCCCCAAGGTGTCACCTCCCCGATCCCTCAATTGTCCCCTCCCATGTCTCTGAGGTACCACCTCCCTGATCCCTCAAGTGTCACCTCCCATGTCCCCGAGGTGCCACATCCCTGATCCCTCAAGTGTCACCTCCCTGACCCCTGCGGTGTCACCCCACCCCCCAGGTGCCACCTCCATTGTCCCCGCAGTGTCCCCCAGGTTGTCCCCTGTCCCCCCCCGTCCTACCCGACCGCGGTGGCGTCGAGATCTTCACGCTGGTGACCAAACTGAGCCCGGCATCGGCGAAGACCCCGACGTTGTCCCTCCCGCTGCCCGCGGTGCAGCCGATGTCACTCTGCTCCACCGTGTCCCAAACCTGCCACCACCAACAGGGGACATTTGTGATGGCCACTGCCACCACCAGGGGACAGTGGGGACAGTGGGGACAGCAGGGACAGCAGGGACAGCCACTGCCACCAACAGGGGACAGTGGGGACAGTGGGGACAGCAGGGACAGCAGGGACAGCCACTGCCACCAACAGGGGACACCCGTGATGGCCACGACCACCACCAGGGGACAACCAGGATGGCCACTGCCACCACCAGGGGACAGTGGGGACAGCAGGGACAGCAGGGACAGCGGGGACAGGAGGGACAGGGGGGACAGTGGGGACAGTGGGGACAGTGGGGACAGGAGGGACAGCGGGGACAGGGGGGACAGGGGGGACAGTGGGGACAGTGGGGACCGTGGGGACAGGAGGGACAGCGGGGACAGTGGGGACAGGAGGGACAGCGGGGAGGGGTCCTGGGCACTCACCCTGGCCTGGGTGAGCTTGTTCTTCTTGCTGAGCACAAAGACCCCCTTGTCCACAGCCACCAGCCCCACGTGGGCCCGGTGGTCGCCCTCGAGGCGCAGCCTCATGGGGGTCCCCGGCTGATGCACCCGCTTGTCGGCCTCCGTCGCCGCCTTCACCACCAGCTGCGGGGGGACACGGGCCGGGGGAGGTCACCTCCCAGTCATGGCCATGGGATGGCCCCAAAAACCCTTTGTGAGAACCCCAAACCTGCCCCGTAGGGAACCCCAACCTCAGGGGTGGCGGAGACCCCAAAAACCCTTCAGGAGACCCCCAGAACCTGATCCATGGGGAAACCCCAACCCCAGAGGTGGTGGAGACCCCAAAAACCCTTCATGAGACCCCCCAGAACCTGATCCTTGGGGAGCGCCCAATCCTGCAGGGTGGTGGAGACCCCAAAAAACCTTCATGAGATTCCTAGAACCCCTTCAAAGTCCCCCAAAACCCCCCAAGGGCCACTTAAGCCCTTCCAAAGGCCCCCCCCAAGCCCCCCAAGGACCACCCAAGCCCCCCAAGGGCCACCCAAGCACTTCCAAGAAAGACCCTCCGACCTCTTCAACGTCCCCTCAAGCCCCTCAAGCACCACCCCAAGGCCCCCCCAAGGCGCCCCCCAAGGTCCCCAAGGCCCCCCCAAGCCCCCCCTAAGACCCCTCCAAGGCCCCCAAGGTCCCTTCCCCACCCCTCTGGGGCCCGGGGGGGACACTCACGGTGCCCATGCAGGTGTCCTGGACGTCCACCCAGACGGAGTCGGCCACGATCTCTCCGGGCAGGACGTGGTAATAGGCCACGATGCGGAAGGAGGGGATGAGCTCGGGGGTCACCAGCAGGCTCATGGTGACCAGGCTCTGCCCGGCCTCGTGGCGCTGCCGCCCGGCGCGGACGATGCGCCCCTTGCTCATGATCTGGGGCGGGTGAGGAACGAGGGGTTGGTGGTGGCCACCTGGCCGGCGAGTGACCAAAGTGACCCCTCAGCCCACCCTCGGCCACCACGGGGGTCCAGGACATCCTGGTCACCCCCATCCTGCTGTGCTGGCCCTTGGTGACCACTCTTGGACACAGTCATCGGTCACCTTGGCCATGGTCGTTGGTCAACTTGGCCATGGTTGTTGGTCAACTTGGCCATTGTCCTTGGTCACCATGGTCACTGGTGGCCATGGTCATTCATCACCCTGGCCATAGTCATTGGTCACTTTGGCCATGGCCACTGGTCACCTTGGCCACGGTCGTTGGTCAACTTGGCCATGGTCATTGGTCACCCTGGTCATGGTCATTG